TATTTAGTAATTATGTAAAATAAAAAATGAAAAGTTTTACAAAACATCAAACGATAATAATAAAAATTCTTTTATATTTTTCTTAGAAAACAATATTAATTTAACAAAAATTGAATTTTATTAAATATTAAATTTAACAGAATATATAATAAATATATATATGTAAAAATTATAATTTAAATAATCAATTTATTCTACAGTTGCTTCTTTTTTAAGTTGCCATTTTGACGAATTCAATTTTTCAAATGTCGTTTCATTTTGTAAAATGTTAACTTTTATAAAAGATAATGTGAGTAGAAATGAAATTGCTAAATCTTCTTTCTTTACATCATTTGAAACAATGTATGATTCAATACACTTTGGTGGTATTTGAATTGTGAAATTATCATTAGAACATTTATCTGTTAATGTTTTTATGTAATTATGCATTTCTAATTCTTTTATAATACTATTAACAGCATTACTGGATGATGTTCTATCATTTCCAATTAACAAACTAAATAAATGGTTGATGACGCTTTGTTTTTGAAAAAAAACTTTTTCTTCCAAATCGAATTCTAAAATGAATGATAAAATAATCGATAATGTAAATGAAAGAGAATTGTAAAAGCTACATTGATTTACCTTTGTTAATTCCATTTAATAATACTATAAGCATGGATGATAAATGAATTTCATTTATTTTATTATGTAATTCTTTTCCTCTTATAGAAAATGTTTCCATTACATACAAGTCAGAATCTGGTAAAGACAAATTAAAATTGTAAGCCTAGATAAAAAAAAAAAAATTTGGTGAGAAAAATTTTTAAAATTTTTACATTTTATTTATGTATATTATAACCTAAAACTAACCAATTTTAAAACTTCTGATTCATTTAATTTTGATCTGAAATTGTCTGGAAAAGGTTTTGAATTCCATTCCAAAACATTCATGTTTGGAAGTAGAGACACTTTCATCCAGGTAACATGTTTTAACCCTAATGATATGCCAGTAATTGTTGTTATTTTCTACAATTATAAAAATTCAGTTAAATGTTTATAAATTACTAATTAATGGTGTTTGTTTGTTTGTTTTAAATTAATTTTATTTGTTTTATATATTTTTACTTGTATATGGAAAAATTTTAATACAACAGCTAGTTTCGAAAAGCTTAACATTTTACAAAAAGTCGGTTTGTAATTATTATTAAATCTATAATTTAAAAAAAATCATTAACCTAAACTTACACTAATTCTTTCTGATGTCAACTTTGGAATTATTAATGATTTTTTCTGTTTACTCAATTTCAAATAATTTTTTTGAGCACAGTTAAAGCTAGCATTTGTTGTAATAAATCTTTTTGGTAAAATTAATTTCTTTTGATGAATTTCTTTAGAATTTAATGCAGTTAAAATGTTAGGTGAATGCGAATTTCTGAAATAATAAAATTTATTCATAAAGTTAATAGAAAATTAAATAAAAATTAAAACGATTAAATAAAAAATTTATAAACTTGCTTAATAATTTTCAATTTATTCATGTTATTAAAAATTTTTGACTCTTCCCTTTGGGCAACATTAATATCTATATATATATTATAAAAGAAATTTTAAATGACAGCTTTAATATTCGAATTCGTAAATATTGATCAGGCTTTTAAATTACTAAAAATATAAATTTTTTTAGAGTTTATCAAGTTTTTTATTAAAAACATTTTATTAAATTTGTAAATACGACGATTCGTACATTTTTTTATTATTTTTTTAAAATTTAAGCTTATAATTTCTGCCTGTAGAGGACTCTGCAGTTGTTAAAAGAAAAAAATTATAATTGTAAAACTGCAGATAGCACTACTTTACATTATTTTTGACTACATGTTGCTGTTGACAAAAAAAAAAGTAGTAATAATAATAATAAAACGTTTTTATTTTATGTGATAAATAAACTTAAGTTATGATTTATTTAATTCAAAATATTTAAAAAAAATGGTGTTTTATAATGTTGTTCATCTATGATGCAGGTACGTCACACGCTTCATTTCATAATTTTTATTTATAATATCAAAATATTATTTGCCATTGGTCGGCCATTTGCCGCATATGTATATATGGGTAAGTACAGCGTTATGAAATATCTATGCCTTTCCCTTAATTTAAGTCTACTTCCGTTTATGATTTTTTATTTTGTTTCGAAACTATTTATTCGTTAAATTAAAAAAAAAAAACTATGCTTTGTTATAAACAAAATATTAAATTTATCATATTTTAATAATTTTATACATAAATCATAATTTTAAAAAAACAATTTATAACTTAGTTTATCTTCAGTTATAAAAATGAATTAATTTAAATTAAATTTTAATCAGTAGCTTATTAAAAAATTATTAATTATATCTTATGAAAAATTAAATTTTTTAAAATTATTAATTACTAATTACTCAGACGAATATTGATAATCAATATTTTACAGTTTTTTTTTTTTTTTGCATGAAAAATACATTGATTTTTTAAATAAAAGGATCCATTGACAATGTTCAACATTTTAATAAATGAATTTTCTTATTGATAGGTAGACATTTTTAAATATTACACATATTGTTATTTTTAAACAAATTTTAGAGTAAAAGACCATATTTACTTTATGAAATATAATAATTTACTTTAAACAATTAATTTAAATAATAAAAAATTGCTGTTTGTCTGTTTTAAACATAATGTTTTTTTTTTTTTTGACTTTCATAAAGTCTAATATTTCACATGATTTGATTGTGGCATAGAGTAATAAATAATGGGGAAAAAAATTTCATATAATTATATTATATGTATATATTTATATATATGTGCATATATTTATTTTATAGTATTAATACTAATAGTTTATAATCTGATTAATTAGTTTAATACTTAGTATTTGATTGCTTAGTTAGTTCTGTATGATAATGATGTCAAACAGTCAAGTTGGTTTCAAAAAATAAAAAGGTGGGAAAGCAGTTGAATAAGCTATAAATATAATTAGGAAGCATAAAAAAGTGTATATTATATTGTCTTATATTACTACATCACTATAATTTTTGCTAGTGTCAATAGTTCTTTCTTAAATTTAACTTGCATAATGATTAATTGGTTATTACAGTAAATCATACATTTAAGTTTGATTAATGCAAAAAAAAAAAGTTGAGAAAACAAAATAAACTGCAAATACAAAATGCTAAGCTATATTCTAATTTGAAAATGTTTAAAATTAATTTAGTTTGTAGTAGCAAACATATTTTGCTACCGTTAACAAATATTTCTGCTGCCACGTTTTTTTTTAAGATTTATGATTAATTTAATTTTAACTGTATGAGTCATATCATATTTATTGACTGTAAAAAAAGGGTTTTTTTTTTTTTTTTTTACTCTTTTAGTTGAAAGTACTTTCATTTCCAAAAAAAAGAAATTTAGTATAATTTTGTCTCCATTTGTTTTTTGTACATCTTTTTTTTTATTGTATGAGTGATGCTCTTTAGAGTACTTATGTTCTATTCTAAAAATAAAGTTTTAAGGAGTGGCAGGCAGGGCATATAAAATTATTCAAAAGTTAAAAAAAAAAAATTATTATTTCAAACAAAAAATAAACAATAAATGGGGGGGAGGGGGAAATGGTTGTACTGAAGGTATAGCCTTAAGTAAAAAATTATACTTTTTATATTTTATAATTTTTATTGTTTAAATATGTCATAGATATACTAATAACAAGGAAACTGTTTTTTATGAGTCAAACAACCAATGGGGTTTTACCGTTTTGCACATGCGCAGTAGTCGTGTACGACCACGTTATTTGTAAAGGATAGTTGCATTCGCCAATAATATTTCTCGAAGTCTGAAATCGCTTAAAAGTATCAGCTTGACTAGTGACTCCACTTGCTACATTAATAAATAAAACCTATTCAATGGCCAAGCAATTAACAATCTTATTTACAAACCTTAAACGACCTTTTCGCTTTTAGCTATACGCGGTGTAGGAGGCGTTACTTGTATGATTCTTAATTTCTGACAGCGGCCATATTGAATAACCTTTGTGTTATCGATCCATCGGTTGACTTATGTCTCCTTGACAACGTATATATGTATGGTAAGTGTTTAAGTCTGGCACAAACGTCCGTAGTATTTCAGGCCCAATACATTTTAGTTAAAAAAAAATTTAAAAAAAAAAAAAAAAAATGCTTTTCATTTCTACAATCCGTTTTTTTTTTTTTTTTTTTTTTTTTTTTTTCCCATTTGAAGGGAGCACCACCTTACCTTTTAAAATTTTTTTTGTTTTTGTTTTTTGGTTCCGGAATAAGCACTCTGATTTCAAATATTGTTTCAATTACTTGTTCTTTTTTTTTTGCTGTTTATCAAAAGGCTTGATTTAAAATTTTATTATTAATTATTTTTTTTTTAAATAATAATTGAGAAAATCATTATTATTTGTCATTTGGTTAATCGTTAGTTCGAAATTTTTTTTCGATGCCGTGAAGCTTTGCTCTCTATATACTCTGCCTGAGTATGTGGTCCGAGCCGGAAGAGGGTCAAGTTTGACGCATGCGCAGTTTGAATTTATATATTTTGTAGTCAAGAGTTGCCAGTTTTCTATGTTTTATGAATTCTGGCGTCTACATTTTATGACGTTATGCGCGGATATCGTAGCCTGCATAAGTAATAAAAAAAAAAATTTTTGAAATCGTTTTTTTTATTTATTTAACATGAGTTCATTAAATATATATAGTGTCTTACTCTAGTATTAATTTGTGCAGTTTGTTGTTTCCGTTGTACGATTTGGCAATATAGCCCCGTATTATTATTATTATTATTATTATTTTTCCCCGTTCGGTATCCTAAGAAAAATCCACAGAGCCAGAGAGTGAAATTTTTATTACATACGAGACCAGTTGTTGCCTGTTTAGGTGATTTACACAGCATAGATACCATGTTTCGTTGTTATGGGTTATAGGGTTTCGTTGACAAAGCATCATTTCTCATTTAATTGGTGAGTTTTAAATTAGTATAACGAGTTATTTTAGTCATCGATTTCTGAAGTGTGCATCCCATCCCACCCCCACCCCCCCCCGCTTAAAAATAAACATGCTATCCTACGGTATCGGTTGAAGGTCTACTATTTGCTGTCATCGATTTTTCTCGGGATGTGTTCAAGTTGTATTACAGACAGGCCAAGTATGTTGCATACCTCCTTCATTTTTAAATTTTGAGATATTTAGATTTCCGTACCAAGATCAATAACATTTCAAGGTCTCTTTCCCTTCTTATTTTTCACGCACATAAAATGTTTACACACCGCTGTGGCGAGCGCGAAATTTATTTTTCATATTCGAAGTAAAGTTTTTTATGCTCCTCTTATGTAATTTTAAATATATTTTTGAAAAAAAAAAATAGAACATCGTAGACAAATGAATAAAAAAAAAAAAATTTAAACATTTTAAGTTAAAATTAATATTTGTCAAGCTACGCATACGAATTTTTTTTTTAACGGTTTTTTTTTATACGTGTATGTTTTCGTTACATTTTAGGTTTGGCCGAGTGCAGGATAGTATTCGATGGAAATGAAATGGACGATTGTTAAACGTTGTTTTGAAAGAAAAAGGAAGAAACGATAAAGAATACCCGAATCAAAAAAATTTTAAACGGTTATTTACATCGATATCCGGTAATGCAATCCGGAAACGTTGAAAATTTTGTGAAAGTGTTGAAACATTTTAAAAAAAAATAAATATAATATTTTAGGGAAAGGGAAAATGAAAGAAAATATAGTTGTCAAGTGTGAAACGGCGGAAGAAAAGGTTGATTTTCCCGCTGCCACCGCGAACGGATGTGAAATCAAAGAAAATTTCAACAGCAACAATTCGGTCGTCGATGGTAGTGGTAGTAGTAGTGGTGGTAGTAGTGGTGGTAGTAGTACGGAACCTGAAAATTCGATTGATGTCGAAATGATTTCGGATACCAAAAAAAAAAATAGTGGCGAATCGAACAATAACGATTTAAACGATGAAAAAATTAAAAACAAAGTTAACGGGAGTGACGAAATAATAGAAGAAGAAGAAGAAGAAATCGAAAATGTCGAAACGACGTCTAAAATAGAAAATGAAAAATTATGTGATACTATTATAGATTTAGAAAATGATTTGACCGCGTCGTCGGACAAAAGTTCAGAGGTGGTGATGAAGTTAAATAATGAAAACTCGCGCGAAGACGAAGTGAAAAATGATGAAAGGACGTCGAAAAAAGATGGCGACGAAAACAAAGAAAATGAAAAGATTGAAAAAAATAACGAATCCGAAATCGTTCAAATAAAAGACAATCATACCGTTTCGAATGAAAGTTCGACAATGAAAAAGAATAATGAGATGTTGACGGGTTGGTGAATTAAAAAATTAAATTAGGTTTAAGGTTTAAGGTTTAAGGTTTTTTTTTACATAAATAATATTAAATTTAAGATGAAAATGATTTTCTTTCGCAGAGAAATGTGAAAAAAACGCAACGCGTAATTTATCAAATTCAAACGACAACGATTCGTCTACGAAACCGTGTCGGGGGGATACTCAAAAGGAAGAGGAGAAGGAGGAGGAGGCAGCAGGATTAGAAAAAGAAGCGGAAATAAATTTGATAGAAGAAGATGACGTGGCGGAGGTGATAGAGTGCGATGCGAAAAAACCAATAGTGAGTAAAGACGATGTGAAAAATAGGACAACTGAACAAATTGAAAAAGAAAATTCTGAAAAAGAGAAGACCAAAGAAAAGACTGAAACGGATCAAAAGGTTCGTTTTAATTTACGGAAAAGATCACGGTTGAATAGTTACGTTAGTTCAAAGAAGAAAAAAACGGGAGGAGGAGGAGGAGGAGAGTGCGTTCAGGAACGAGCGGAAACGGATGAAAATTCTAGTCTTGGCACCAATGAAAAATCTCATTCACGGATTTCCTCCGATGGTAAGTTTTACATCCGGTTTGATTCTTTTGTTCTCTAAAGGTGTAATTAGTTAACGTCGAACATAATTTTTCTTTTTAGAAACAAAAAATATTAATAATGATATTGATATAAATAATCATAGCGATTCATTCCACTTGAAAAATGTTAAAAAACAAAAAATTGATAATCGAGAAAAAGAGACTGTACTACCATCATCGTTTTTAAACACACTGAGAGGTACTTTGAAAAATTTAACACGGAACGATTTAGAAGAATTAATTGTTCAGAAATTATGCGAGGTCATAACCGAAAGGAGCGTCGTTGGAGAATTACGTCGAAGAACGCAAGTTTTGGAAGAAGATCAAGAAAAGTAATTTATATATTTATATGCAAAGCCAAAGTATTAGAAAATTCCCCCCCACCACGCCCCACCCCCACCCCCCGATATTATTGGTACAGATTTAAAAAAAAAAAAAAAAAAATTTTTTCCCAGGTGGAAAGCGAAAGCACAATCACTGACTAAACAAATCAAAGAAATGGAAATGATAATGAGAAAGTATTTAAACGAAGTACAAAAACAAACAAAAGCAGGTTCCGACCATCAACTCATCGTACCTCTTCGCGTGACCAGGTCCGTCGGGTTACAGGTTTCATTTTTATCAAATGTAAGTTACACCAATGCAATTTTCTTTTTGTGTGTGTGTTAAAAAAGTTGCCAAGGAGAGAAACAAAAAACAAAAAAATGCTTTTTCAGTCAAACAAAGTATCATCCAAAGGGACAAATGCTGCAGGAGCAGGAACTAATCTTACCGACGGTGGAATCAGCGAAATGTCTCCCAATTTAATTAATAATAATAATAATAATAATAATAATAATAGTAATAGTAAAAATTCAAGGTTAACTCCGCAGAAAGTTCAAGTAAAACAAAATGGTTCTTCTCTCAATCAGTCTCAAATGTAAAATTATTAAATACAAATTCATCATCATTATTATTATTTTTAATTTTTTTATTAAATGTAAATGTAATTGATGGTAAATATTGAAAATGAAAATTTTATAATAGCAAAAGAATAAACCGGGATCGTCGACTCAGGGATTTTCCGCGTCTCCATCGGCCGTGACCACGCCGACGCAGTATAAAAAAAAATCAAACGTTTCAAGATCGGAAAGTAATTCTTCTTTGCTTTTACCATCCGCCATTACCTATCAAAATAATAATAATAATAATAATAATAAAGGAAACAATACGAACGCGGTAAGAATTGAAGTTGACAAACGTCGTTATCATTATTATTATTATTATTATTAATTTCTCCAACGGTTTTTAAATTTTTTTTTTTTTTTAAATAATTTTTTTTAGGTGTCGAAATCAAATTCGAAAGTAAATTCATCTTTGCAAACTTTACTTCAGAGTCAACAAAATAATAATAATTCAAAAATAATAGATCTTACGGAGGATGATGATCGACAGGTTCCGCCATTTGGTAAATTTTAAAAAAAAAATGCTTATCAACGGAACGTGTGAAGATTTTATTATTATTATTATTATTTTTCATTTCAGTGGATGCTTCGGGACTCGTTAAAGTAGTAAATTATCCTCTTCGGGTAATTGTTTTTAATTTTTATGTCGATGTATCGGTTCCGAGACTATCAGGGATGATAATAATTGTTTTTTTTTGTTCTTGCAGCCTCAGGTACCTCCGAACAATAATAGGTACACGTACATTTTACCTAATTCGAATATTACGCCGACGGTCGTTTCCGCTCCGCAAAATCGTCAAGTCCTTTTGGCCGCTTCCGCAGTATGTCCTCCACAATCGAATAATCGTCAGATAATGTCCATGCCGCCGCTGTTGTTCAAAGGCGGAACCGCTCAACAACAACAACCACCACCGCCACCAGGATATCAACCTTCGGTTTTAAATCAATCAAATCACGTGATTCCAGCGAAACTACTAAAGGTGTGCCCTTTAACTTTAACTATGTGACTAAACACATCAGAGGACTTTTAGTAATAAAAAAAAAAAAAAATTTTTTTGTAGCATCCAGCTCCGCTGCCGCAACAGCCGACGGTTACTAATTCAAAATCGAATTCTAAATTATTACCTCCTAGGCCGGCATTAAAGATATCAAGAGTTCAATCGGGTAGGTTTACGGGAAAAACCTAAAAACAAAAAAAAAAAAAAAAAAAAAAAAAGGTATTGTCGGTTTCTCTAACGAATTTAATTTTTTTTCAGGCATAGTACTTTCTTGGAACATGTCTCTCGGTCCGGAACACGCAGCCATATCTAGTTATCAATTGTACGCTTATCAAGAAGGTAGTTCTCCTCCTGCCACGTCACTTTGGAAAAAAGTCGGCGACGTGAAAGCATTACCCTTGCCGATGGCTTGCACGCTGACGCAATTCACGTCGGGTCATAAATATCATTTTGCCGTTCGCGCCGTCGATCAACATTCCCGAGTGGGACCCTTTAGTCTTCCGGGTACCATTGCTCTCGTCAAGTGAAAAACGTAATGTTTTTTTTTCTCTCTTTCTTTTCTTTTCCCTTTTAATTTATCGTTTACCATGTAAGTGCCACAAATAATTTACTTTAATAATTTTAAATCGTATCGATTCGTGCATTCGTTCGAACAAAAAAAATTATTTAAAAAATCCGTTGATGTTTTTTTGTTTTTACGTTTACGTTAAAAAATCTTGGTCTTCCCAATTAATGATAAATAAACGATATAAATGAATTTTACAAGTTATAGGAAAACGTCCAGAAATTTTTTTTTATTGTACATACAGGTATAATAAATATTGTTAATCCAACGGGATAATGCGTGCGTCGTAGACGTAGAAAATTTATGTATAAAACGATTTAAAAAAAAAAAAAAAAATGTTTAACAAGGAAAATTTGTGTTGAAATGTTTAAAAAAAAAAAAAAGAAAAAAGGGGGAAAGTTATTATTAATAATGTTACTTACTCTATGGAAAATTTAAAAAAAAAAAAAAAAAAAATTTTTTTTTTACTTAATCGAAAATAATTTTTTAATTAGGTTCATTTTAAAACTATTTTTTTTTTTTTTTTTTTTTTTTTCAATTTATGATTTTGTTTGTGTTCATTAAGTGAGTTTTTTTAAATTATAATTATTGTAAAATTACATTTATACTTATATGATGATGATGATGATGAAGATATTACATATAAGTAAAATAATAATGATTATACATTGTAATAATTTTATATGGATGAACGATTAGGATGTGATAAAATGCTGTCGATTTTTTTTTTTTTTTAAGTAAAAGCAAATTTTGAAAATAAAAAATGACCACTGAAAGTGGAATGGATAAATTTGAATCGAGTTTTATTGTTAATTTTTATTGTTAATATTTAATTAAATCTTTGTGCCATACTTTTTTTTTTTTTTAAATAAATATAAAAGCGATTTGATTTTTTTGTATTTGTTTGTGAAGTTTAAATGAAGTTTTATGGAATTACGAATGTGAATTTACTATTGAAAATGTGTTTCTAGGTATATCACGAAAAGTAAATTTTGGCGATGATTTAGTGTGGTGATTTAATGAGATCTGTACGATTTACTTTAAACATTTTACCATGGCCAGGTATAATATAATCAGCCATTTCTAATATTTTTCGTCTACTTTCTTCCTGTAATTTTTCATTTTCACTTCCAGCATTTTTCCATAATTCATCCTGTTGTAAATCTTGTTCGCATTCAAATAAATCTCCTGCGACAACAATTTTTTCCTTATTTTTATTTATGACAACAACGGAAACGTGTGCGAGCATGTGACCCGGAGTAGGTACGATTTTAACATAATCATCTATATTATAGGGGCCCTGAGTTTCAAATGAATAATTTTCATAGAAATCTTTATGTGAAATTGTATATCCGACAATGTGAACAGCATCTAAAAATAAATTATTATTTCCACAATGATCGGTGTGACCGTGAGTGGATACAACAAAATTAATATCACTCGGTGTTAATCCATTTGATTCTAATTTATTTAATATTAAATCTTTATCCCACGGTGACATAGTATCAACAATTATGTTTTTATTTCCTTTAATAAGTGTACATGAGCAATTAGCCATTGATCCGCTTGAAGTATTGTAACTATAACCTTCACTTAATACAATCACTTCATAATTGCTCATGTTTTTCCTATAAATATTTTATTTAAAAAATTTTTTAAAAACTAAATTATACAGAAGTTTATAAGTTGGAACATCGATTTTGATAAGTACGTTCAGAAATCTTACCTGTTTTAGTTAAAATGTCATTATGTGATTACAAAGTACCAACTTTAAAAAAAAAAATTGTGGCAGTTATTAAGAAGTAAGTTAATTTCATAAATCAAAGTTTTTTTGTTTTGTAAAAAAAGAATTCTTTTGGAAATTTATTTAATTTATTGGTAAGTAGATTTATTATAAATAATCTTATTATATTTAAAAAAAGATAATATTACTTATTTATTCGATATATGTTTTTGATTTGTATTTTAAAAATGTTTTTTTCTTTTTTTAAATCTAATTTGCTGCCATTTTAAAATTTACTTATGTATTTGCCATTCTTAATATTATTATACTTTTTTGTTATTTTATAAAATATTTAATAACTTTTTGTGTTAAATTTTCAATGTATATATACAAATACAATACATATACATAAAATATAAGAGGAGTGAGGAGAGGGGGGGGGGAGAAATTAGAAAAAAAATTAAATTTGCAATAAAATATATTATAATTTTACAATATATACATATATAGATAGATTACAATTTAATGCTTCCAATATGTTTTTTTTTTTTTTGTGTGTAATTAACTGAGCAAAAATTAAAAATTAAACTCTTACATGAAATAATATGACTACATTTTATCTAGTCTAAAAGGATATGATTTAACTATTGTAACAATTTTTTTAAAAATATTTCTCTTTAAAAATTATAATAATAATAATCATATGAATTAACAATGATGAATGTATTTTATTATAATAAAAAACAAATGATAATAATTCAGTGCTTAAAAAAAAAGTATTTAAGTAAGAGAGAGAGAGAGAGAGAGAGAGAGAAAGAGATTTAGATTTTTTTTTTTAAATCTACAGATTAAAATAAACTAGATGACTAGTTTTTAAATGAGGAAAATGTCAAATGTTTTGTACAGAAATTATTAGTATAACAATTAATTTCTCACAGAGAGTTTTTTTTTTTTTTTTTTTTAAATGCAAAATTAAATAAATAATTACAATAATAATAATAATAATAATAATAATATTAAATTCATTCAATGACTAAGCATTTAGGTAAATGTTCTCTTAAATAATCAAATAATTCAGGGGAAGCACCCGGACAATTTGTAAGTTCTAATTCTTGTAAATGACGAAGTTGTATTAAGCTTGAAAGGCCGCTGGAAGTCAACAAAGGGCATCCTGGAATGAGATGAAAATTTGGAAATTAAATGAAATTTATATGCATGTTTCTTGGTCTTGTTTCAAAAAATTGTATGCAGTGAAAAAATAAATCATAATGTGAAGTTTTTGAATTATTTAGAAACATGTCGTCGGATTAGAAATAATAATCATTACCTGCGAGTGATAATATTTGAAGGTTTCTCATGCCGCAAAGATGCTGTAAACCGAAATCTTTGACTAGAGTGCACCATCGAAGATAAAGAGCGGAAAGGGATAACATTGTTGATATATAACCGATTCCTAAATCGGTTATGTGTATACACCTACAAAAAATAAATAAAATTTTATTTTTTTTTTCCTATAATCGATTACGTAATAAATCAATAAATATGTCAAATAGAAATTTAATATTCGTTATTACACGTGTATAAAATGGTTCGTGTACGTGGTGTATAAATAATCGTTTATACGTAGAATTTTTATTTTCTTACGACGTGATTGTGTGTGTTCATTCGTTTGTATACGTTAAATACAAACACACAAATTTATTTATTTTTTATTAACGCTTTCATTTATTTAAAATATTTAACAAACAAACAAACAAAACAAACGAAATTGGGGTTGTTTTTATTGTTGTTGTTGTTGTCGTCTTTTCAATAATAATAATAATAATAATTCTAACGATGCATTTTGCATGAAAATGGTAAAGTTAGTTTTTTTTTTTTCAAAGGGAGAATATCGTTACCATGGTAACAATACACCCATTCACTTTTGATTGTAAAATAGAAAGAGAGGGAAAGAGAGAAAGGGTTGGGAGGGGGGAGGGAAGAGAGAGAGAGAGAAAGAAATTTTTGGGAAAAACGGAAAATTTTAACAACAACATTGGGAAAAACGTTTATATTTTTTCAATCGACATATTCCCGAAAAAAAAAAAAAAAAAATTTAATGAATTTCGATATAATGTTTTTTTTTATTAACGATTTTAATCGATGACGTAGCGTGATAATAATAATAATAAGTACATGTTTTAGTTTTTTTTTTTTTTTTTAAATTAATTTATTATTTACTTTCGCTTAATTAATTTTAAATTCTTTTTTTTTTTTTACTGTAAATAACCGTTGCTGGCAGCCATATTGAAATTTTTAAAATGAGGAAAATAATAAAAACGTGAAATTTTTTTTCGTAGAAAAAAACAAAACAACCGAGTATGACGTCAGAGATAGAGAGAGAGAGGGAGAGAGAGAGAAAAGGATTCGTTTGATGATTTCATCTTGGGATAGGAAGAAATAAATATAAGGAAATTTAAAAAAGGTATTTCAAAGTTTATTTATAAATATTTTAAAAATAGGTTTAAGGTTAAAAAAGGTTTAAAATAGGTTTAAAAAGAACAGTCGAATTAATAAACATTTTGGAAGAAAAAAACTTTTTTTTTTTATATGGGGAGTCGAAAAGAAAAACCGGAAAATGTTTTTTCGTAATACATAACTTTATATACGTTAACCTTATTTCGTTTACAAAAAAAGAAAATTCCCTTTTTTTTTTTGGAAAATCAATGATAATTTTCTTTTTTTTTGGAAAAACGCCGGGAAAAGGTCAATGAATAAAAACTTCTGACATTAAACCTTCCAAAATATATATATATATTTTTTTTTTGGGATTACTGCATTAAAGGAAAAAAAGGGCGGAAAAGGGGGAAAGGGGGGGATGTGGGGGAAAACCTTTTGACTGTAAAATGTATATTGTTTCCTTTCTTATTTTTTTTACAAAATTTTCAACTGGAAAATTTTTAACTTGCCAAAAAATGTTTTTCTCGTTACCATAAATAAAATTTTATTTTACTGGAAAAATTATTATTTTTAAACAAAAAAAAAAAAAAGGGAAAATTATTTTCGGTTTTGAATGAACTATTAAAAAAAAAAAATTTTCTTTTGACGTCATTGGAAAAAAATTTGACGTCCCCCCTAAATTGTGTCGTGCTCCCTTATTTGTGACAATTTTCCATGTTTTTCTTCTTTTTCTTCTTAGAGAATTTTTTCGATTTAAGATAAAATGGCTTAGATTCAAAAAAAACGACGAATGTTAAGGGCATTGTTTCGATAAATATATATACGACAGGTGTTCCCGAGGGAAATTGGGGGGAGGGGGGTTAAAGTCAAACCGAGAGAAATTAATTAATTAAATAAAACAACTCACCGGTCCAACGTAAGTTCTTCCAATTGATTTAAATCGCATGCAATGCATTCCAAAGCAGCATCCGTTATTCTCGGACACCAAGATAAATCCAAACTTCTTAATTTATGTAGATTTTCAGCTATGGCTTCGACTCCCTCATCTGTGATTTTCGAACAACCGGATAAACTTAAAACTGTCAGATTTGGAAGCGAGTGTACTGTTACAAAAAAAAAAATATTAATCATTTTCCCCCGTTTAAATCCGCACAAAATTTAAAAATTTTCCAAACATTATTATTATTATTCTTGTAGGTTTTATGTGGTTTTTTTTTTTTTCTCTTAAATTTACCAACCTTTAAAAAAATAAAAATAAAAATGTCATCAATTACTCTTGTGACATTTACCAACGTTTATACTTTTTTTTTTTTTTTTTTGTTCATTTTTGAAAATGTGAAAAGTTATATAAATATATCGATTTTAAAACAAGAAGCCAACCTTTGAAAAAAAAAAAAAAATTTATTTATTTACTTATTTATTTACTTATATCGCGGGCTTGTTAAATAAATAATCTTATTTATCTTATTGATGTGTAACAATTATTATTATTATTATTATTACTATTACGTAAGGAAAAAAATTATTTCTCAATTAAATAAGGTCAATAACCTATTGAACTAAATTTAATTTAAGTTTTAAATACGGTTTGTTGTTTTTTTTTTTTTTTTTAAAAATTCCAGGATTTTTTTTTTTTCCCCCGGGAAAATAAAGGAAAGGAAATGGAAAATTTTTTATAGGCTGATAATCGATTGATTGATTTTTTTGTAAATATTGATAATTACTTACCGATATTATCCATTCCGTGATTAGTGACTTCCCAACAACTATGCAATCGTAAAATGCTAAGAGAATTACTTTGTTTGGGGGAAAAATAACCTAAAGCAGCATCGGATACGTGATACGCTTGTAATGAAAATTCATATAGAGAGGGTAGAAGTTGAGCGACGGCACCCATGGCTTCATCCGCTATGTTTATGCAGTCTGTCAATGTTAAAGCAACTATCCTCGGTGTTAGACATGCCCATAAACCGGCTTCCGTTATTTCATTGCATCCAGCTAATTCAAGTTCGAACAAAGCCTGCCATTAAACATTTATAATTTCGTCATCATATCACTCGAGAGTTAAACACGATCCTATTAAGGATAATTCATATTCATTTACTTGCAAATGATCCAATAATGCTTCTAGACCTCTATCGGATACGCTAGAACAACGAAGACTGATTGAATGTATGTGCTTTGATGCAAGTGGAAAAGACAAAACTAAATCTAAGGCATCTTCGTCTGAGGCACCCAAAAGGGAAACAGAATGAAAGCCTCGTCTCAAAAGTGAATTATATAATCTCGCTCTATCCGCTTGTATTGTATTTTGTAGTTCTTTACATCTTATTACGGGATGAAGACCTGACCAATACCTGGGCGATCGATATAAATGATCTCTCCATCTAACGCATACCTAAAAAAAAAAAAAATTCGCATGCCACAAACTATTAATTTTTAAATACTCGATAATTAAATCGCGTATTAAACTTAATTAATGAAAAAAGTTGTTAATTTTTTTCTTTTTCAATTTCAGGTTCTTGTTCTATTAATGTCAAGTACGAAGAAAAACCTTTTTTCCTATAAGGAATTTGATGGTGAGAAAGGTTAGTGTTAATTTTTTATAAACGTTTTTCGAAACATGTGTCGTGTGACATTGTTTTAAAACAAATCAAATTATCATTATTATTATTAATTAAAAAAATTTCATCGGGGGGAAAACAATATGATATCAAATATCTATTATCTAATTTGTAATTTTTTTTTAATAATTTTAAAATGCATTTTTGTCTGTGTGTTCGGGTGTGTGTGTGTGTGTGTGTGCGCGTGTGTGGTGTATAAATACATTTTGGCCATTAGCCGGGGAATGAAAAGAAAATAAATAAATTGTTTTCGATGTTGAAATTCTATTACAGTCACCTGTTATAAAACCGTGAAAAAAAAAAAAAGAAAATTTTAATTACTCAACAATTAGTCGTGGTTCTAGATCTTTTACATAAAAAATTAAATCGATAACTGGAATAAATTTATAGAAAAAAAAATTACTATAAAAATCGCGCACCGCGGAAACCCTTTGTTAACAATCATTAATTAGTATTATTATTAAATTTTGACGTCATCAAAGTTCGAACGATCTGTGTTTGTATTAAAAAAAAAAAAAAAAAAATTTGTTCGGCCTTTTTTTATTATTTTTTTCGTATTCATTCATTTGCTGGAGAAAAAAGGATTCGAATGTTTAATAATTTCTGCTGCCACTTTCACACTAGCAAAACTTCCATATAAATTTTTTTTTTTTTTTAATTATAACATTGACCTAATAATATTTCTTTTGATTCCGTACACACGCACGCACACGTGTACACACGCAGGCACGCACGCACGCACGCATTTATTTCTAATTCGTTTAAATAATAATAATAATAATAATAATGATAATGATAATGATAATGATAATTGTTAAACTCACTTGAGCAAGTGTTCGCCTTTCGAATGGTGTAAAATACCCGAAAAATTTTGCCAAAAACCTTTCGTCCATCATTAACTGTTCCCACGTGAGGTAATTCAACGGGGTTCGAAATCGATTTTTCCTATTTAAATTCGGCGAATTTCCGGTTCCGTTATTTAAATTTGTTATTTTCCCTTTGGCTGCATATAAAAGTCTCGAGGGTTTTTCGAGTACGTCCGACGTTGTCGATGAACTTATGTTCGAAGAATTATTACCGCCGCCGCAAAAAACGTTGGTGACACGTTCCATGACGCTCGTTTTCGTACCATGTTCCTTATTGTGATGTTTCGACGACCTCAATCCCAAACCGTTTATCCTTTTTGTTAATTCCGCGCTCGCTCTTTCCACGACACCTTGTGCAGACATCGAAGACATTGTTTATTTTATTTATTTATTTACCACTCGATTTTAATTTAATAATAATAATAATATTCCGATAATCATCGTCTTTCTGCCACGTTTGTTTTTTTTTTTTTTTTTTTTTCTGTTATTACGTAATTAATTTTTAATTATTAAATAATTATTTATTATTTACTACTGTAACAAAACTCTGATAATTGTTTGTTTCTTGTTGTTGTTGTTATCATCTATTTAAATTTATTATTATTATTATTATTAATATTTATCACTGAATGGTCTGATAGTGAGTATTGCATGCACAAGCAAGAAAAAATTGCAAAATAATAAATAATAATAATGATAATAAAACTAATTTAAAATAAATTATTGATTTTGAAATAAAATAGAGAGAGAGAGAGAGAGAAATTTTTTTTTACGTGTTTACAATAATTTTCCGGGAGGGGGA